CTGCCGGACGCCGTTCCGACAAACGGCTCAAAAGAGGAGACGAAGACGTCGCGCGAAGTATCGGACGATTGAGTTTCTCATTTCCTTTCTTCTGTGTGTCCCTTCAGGCAGACTCGTGAACAGGAGACGCCCCCGGACTTCTTCTATTTCTCCGACTTTGAGCGACACAATGCTGAGATTGCCGCCTTTCATCTCGACAAGTAAGACGGAGCAAAAATTGCAGCCGCTCATATGAATGCCCCCCCCCAAAAAAATCGGCAAGTGGATTAGACTAGCACGAGGGCTGCTTCTTAATACGTTTTTGACGAGAGCAGACCCATGAACGTTTTTTTTAATTTGGGGGTCGTGGCAATGTGAAAAAGATTCCAGTTAGTGTTGTGCAAAAAGCCGAATCCTCGAAAATTATGCATCCGACGATGGCCACGACAAGGTCAAGTTGCCAATGTGGAGGCGGGGGGGCGACGACAATGTCCTGCTTGATGTCCTGCTGATTTTTACTCGGGCCCTGATTGCGAATCTGCACCTCCTCATGTCAGCTCATTAACCACCTGGCAGGGAAGACGGCAAAGCCGCAGAACACTTGACGCCAAGGGCACCTTTGCCTTTGGATTCTGACCCGTCATTTTACACGCAGACGAGAATACGAATGTTTTAGAGCCGTTTCACGTCAAATTTGCATAGAGTGATTAGAGCGATGATCGAAGAATCGTAGCAGGGGAATAATTACGGATAGGAAACACCGGGACGGGGATTGCAAGAGTGATATCGCCGCCAAGGTGCCCTCGAGCAAAGCACCAGCGATTGTGCAACCACATGATAACATAACTGCCTTGTGTGGGGGGGGGGGAGTCAATTTAATCCCGGCAACCTGTACTGCTTGGTGGAAAAAAAAAATCCTTTATTTCATGCGAACGAGAGCCATACAGCAGGATTGGCCCATAATGGCCTTCAAATAATATTTCAATTTATTTTGAACCCAAATCCAATTTGCAGTTTGAATCAACGTTTACACATTATTCAAAGCTGGTTTTTGTGTTTTTGTTCCCCCCTCCCGCTACCCCCTTCTGGGTATTGCTTTATTTCTCCTGATAGCAAACAAGCTTTGAAACTGTTTTCTTCCAACATCCATTTTTTTTTCTCCCCTAATCAATTTATCAATCAATAAAAATTTGACCTAATCAATTTTAAAACACACAGCTCATCAACAATCACCTCAAAATTATCATGAATTATTAATCTATTAATTTGATAAACCACAAAAGGTTGGTAATTGCCTGTAGATGCTCCAAGATGGCAACAATGCGCTGTTTGTTGAAACGAAACTCCTCAACTCACTGTAACATAGTTCTTTGATGCTAAGATGGCAGTGAGGCACTACTTTTGTCTGAATTAAGTGCCTCTGTTCACTTCAGCATAGTCCCTTGAGAGCAAAAGTGTCACAAGATAGTGAGTGACAAAGTTGTACCTGCATCGCTTAGGATGAGACCGAAAAAAAAAAACCAAAAACGTGTTTTTCAGCAAATAACGCAGGACAGGTTGAAAAAAATAAATATACAAATAAGCTACTTCAGAGATGCAAGTTAGCAGGGACGCTCTATTGGAGGGGGGGAAAAAAAAACATGTTGACAAATAACCTCGAAAGTCACCCAGGCCAACGGTTACGTTTGCAGATGCGTTCCAAATGGTAATAAGGGCAAACAAACACTACCGGTGGTGGAAAACATTCCTTACGTAAGGCAGCGACACGAAAGAAGCGGAGAGACCCCCTGAGCAGAAGGTCAAAGTCCTCCAGTCTAATTGTAGTTGGCGTCTGAAGGCATTGAATCCTTTTTTTCACGTCGACCGCCCTTCTACTTCTTGCCTTTCACTGGCTCCATCAATTTGGTTTTCTCACAAAACACGGAGCCCGTACAGTGAAGCCCCGAGTCCGACGAGGCCGTTTGTCACCACGAATGAATACGCCCCCACCCCCCCTCACGTCCCGCCGAACAATGACTGCAACCTCCTTACTTAGCAAAGCAGCACGCTCCTTGACTCTTCCCCTCGAGGGAAGCTTGATGAAAAGATAGGACGCATCGGGAGGCTACAAAGCAGAAACGCTGGTGCGCGTGTCTGTTTGTGTGCGTGTGTGTGTTTTTTCCCTTTTCCATGCCGGCACAAGACCAGAGCGAGGTTACAACACTTGCCCCGTTCACATGTGCACCATCATGGCGGGGGCCGAAGAGGGGGAGCGACGTTGAATCTGCTCGCTTCCTTCCTTCAGGCGCCGTGACACACTTCTGCATAAATTGCATTAGCAGCAGCTTTTGTCAACAGTCTGCTACACATCTGGTGCGCTTCTCCACGCACACACACACACGCATACTGGCAACATATGTGTGTGTGTGTGTGTGTGTGTGTGTGTGTGTGTGTGTGTGTGTGTGTGTGTGTGTGTGTGTGTGTGTGTGTGTTGAAGGGAAGAGGAGGAAACCAAAAGCATGAAAGACCCTGTGCCCATTCTAAATATAAGCCAGGCAAGGGTTTGCCAAAAGCAGCACTTCATTTTTTTTTTCTCTCTCTTATTTTGTCTGTTCTAAATTAGACCTTGGCTGCTACGGAGTGGCTGCTCGCTGGTGTCGCAGAGTGAGGCTACATTGTCTCCCAGGGGGGGCCCGTAACCACACAAAGCCTCCTTTTAAAGCAGCACTAACAGCCAACGCCGCTTCTCTTATAGGCTACGTTGCCATTAACACACTTCATTATGTGATTGGATTTGCTTCGGGTGGGGGGCAAAGACCGTGGACCAAAATATAAAATAAATAAATAAAATAATCAATTATGACAGCATGTATGTAGTGTACCATATAGGACCATATAGTGTCCTCTGAGTTCTGCTCATCAATAACTGTGCCTGATCAGGGAACCAAAAAAAAAATCTGAGCTAATGCATTCATCTGCCTTTTATCCGGATTTTTAATAATCAAACACTACAGTGTTTGCTTTTTCTGTTTGGTGCATTGCCATTTCAATACAAGCTGGCGTGCAACAACAACAACAAAAAAAAAAAAAATCCACCTGCTATGAAAAGAAACGGTTGTTTTTGTGCAGTCATCTTCTCTCCGGTTGCTCTTTTCTTTCATTTCATGTCGATTTTCTCTCTTCCTCCAACTCTTTCTTCACCCTTTGCCTATTTTTATTCCGATCCGTCCTGTCCTCCCACTGCCTCCCGGGGCCTGCCCATTTGCAGTTGTCGGGCACTATCAATTGTTAAAGAGTCAGTGCTGATGTCGGACCTGGAACCCACAGATGCATAAAATCGACACTTGGCACGCACGCATTCGCACATCCAGCCAGGGGAAAACCTCTTCTTCTCTTCCTACCACAACAATACCACAACCTGGCTTTCCACTTAAACTGCGCCAGCTAAAAGGCGCATGGACCACAAAAGCCTTCAATGTTGGAGCGTCAATACAATTTCCCCCGAACGGATGGTGAAGTTATCTTACTGGGCTTTTACATCAGGATGCTGTGCGTGTGTGGGGGGTGAAAAGGCGTCTGGTGCTGAATGACCGCGGTGTGGTGACTGCTGCAGAGCGTGGTCACGATGCCCCCTAGTGGCCATACGCGGCATTATGAATGTTTACATCGTCCCCGTCGGCTCATGGGGAAGGAAGGCACTGGACTCCTTCGCCAGGAATTGCGGGTTTGAGTCCCATCTAAGGTTTTAACGATATAAATAGATTGCAACCCGCTCCTTCAAACTTAATCGGATGTATGATGTTGTGTATCAGGATATCGCAGGCTGAGCTTTTTATGGTTGCTAAATATTGCCGCCCGCATAAATCTGCACTGTCGGTTGCAAGCCACGTTTGTACAAATGTGATCAGTCAGGACAGTGACAAAAAAAAAAAATAGTTGAATTGAATCCATTTTATTCCGTCAAGTGGTTGCACAATATAACATTTGGATCCAGATACATGTTTTATGTAGACGATGCATCTACTACTACTACTACAAAAAAAAAATCTTTGGTGTCAGTTTGATTTTTCCCCTAGTTGCAGTTTGAAACCTGAAGAATTAAATACATTTAAATCGTAATGGAGGAATATTATTGGATTTGTTTTATGATGGGATTGTTTGGATTTTAGTCACCCGCCATGCTGACAATTGAATACTCTCCCGTGTTTGCTCTGGCTTGCTGTAGGATTCTGGATTTCCGCCGTGTCCCTCCTGTGGCTGGCAGACTCGTCAACATGACCAAGGAGATCCGAGATGTCACGCGGGATAAAAAGCTGTGGCGGACATTCTTCATCTCACCAGGTAGTGGACACTTCGACTTGATGTTTAAAAAAAAAAAAAAAAAAGACAACGTAAAAAATATCAATTGTTCTTTGTGTCAAGCTATTTCTGTTGCCTGAGGGAAAAAAAAAATACTTGGCGATGTTCATCAAATGGAGAGTGACTGGAGGCTTGCTTGCATCAAGGCACAGCAGTTAATGAGCTCTGCAACTTTTTTTTTGGTCGCAGGCACGTAGGGGATGGGGGGGGGGGGTCTCACGGGAATGAATTTACTCACAGTCTCAGCAATTAATACAAGTCATTGAATCCCTCCAGGGGCCATTAATCTTGTCTGAACGTCCTTCCAAAATATGTGTGCGCTGAATTCTTAAAGAGCAAAAAAGAGAGTGCAGCCGTGAGCGTGCAGGGTGTAAATTGCCCCCCCCCCCCTTCGCTCAGCCAACAACGTGTGTTTCTACGGGGAATGCTCGTACTACTGCTCGACGGAGCACGCTCTGTGCGGCAAGCCCGACCAGATCGAAGGCTCCCTCGCCGCCTTCCTCCCGGACCTGGCCCTCGCTAAGCGCAAAACCTGGAGGAACCCGTGGAGACGCTCCTACCACAAACGCAAGAAGGCAGAGTAAGAGGATCCTCGCTCCGCACCGTCAGCGCGCCACTTTTGCCCGTCTTAAAAATGACGTTTGGATTTTGTGACACGCAGATGGGAAGTTGACCCCGACTACTGTGAGGAGGTCAAACAGACTCCGCCCTATGACAGCGGGACAAGACTTCTGGACATCATGGATATGACCATATTTGACTTCCTCATGGGTACGTGAGATATTTTTCAATTTTCAGTCGATATGTATGTCGAGAGAGAGTGCACGTGCGATTTCCCGTTCCTTAAATCCCTCGACAGGAAACATGGATCGGCATCATTATGAGACGTTTGAAAAATTTGGAAACGAGACGTTCATCATCCATCTAGACAACGGCAGAGGGTGAGAACTCACAGCGTTTGTTTTTTTTTTTGGTTTTTTTTGGCCACAGTTTGCTCGTAAAAGGAACTTGGCTAAGTTACTGATGACTCTAGTTTAAAGTAACCAAGTTAGTTTGTAAGCTAATTCAAGTAGTTGCATTCAACAGATGCCCACAACCTCCCTGAACAAAAAATTAACCAGTATTGTTGAAACTGATTTGGAAGGACATTTTGAAGTGGCATTTAAGAATAAAGTGTATTTTTTTCAAATTTAGCATAAAATAAAGAGGACTTTTTTAACTCAAATGCCTATAATTTTGTTTCATTATTTTTTAGGAAAAAAAGAGGATGTATTTATTTATTTTTTAAATTATTATCCGGGCAGGCTTTTTGAAGCTAGATAACACTTTGTTAAGAGTACAGAATGTGCAACGTCCCTCAATATTTTCTTTCGCTGACACAAACTGAAAAGAGTGACTATTTCCACCTTCATGAAACGTGACTCTGCCGACATCTTTCACGTGGTCGAAACGCGACAGCGCTGCATATGTGACGTCACTCCTCCAGATGCGAATGCACATTGTGGAGTCGCAGAATGAAATTCCATTGGATCACCGCCCGAAAAATAAATACATAAATAAAAGGCACTTCCAGAAGCCATTCCAAGTTGTATTAACCTTCCATGCTTGTTTTTCTCTCTCTCTCTCTCTCTCTGTAGGTTTGGAAAACACTCCCATGATGAGAAGTCCATTCTGGTGCCACTGACACAATGCTGCCGGTAAAATTACACTTGTGGGGCTGAGAGCATGCCTGAGTGCCTGTTTGTGCGTGTGTGTGTGTGTGTGTGTGTCAGAGTGTGCGCTGGTATTATGCACTCTGGATGTTGCCTCGTGCTTTAAACAGCTGCCTACAAGCCCAGGTATTGCGCGCCGGCTTCTAAATAAGCAGCACGCTCA